TTGCAATATTTTCTGGTGCAATGGAGCTAGACTACCTAGCATAAAATGTTAACTTCAGCATTTACTGGGTGTTGGGTCATGGGGAAGTTACTCAACTTTTCTATCCCTCAGTTGTTTTCTGATATATAAAATAGGGATACTTAACAATATCCCTTGCCATGCCATTTTGAAGATTATGTAAGTTTATGTAAAGCAATTAAAATAGTGCCCAAAGGAAGCACTCACTAAGCTTACCTACTATAATTGCTGTCTGGGGACACTTATGCTTACATATATCCTCACAAGGTTTAATACTGTCTGAAGTTATAATGCATTCTCCTTCAAAAATATGTTGAATACATGGGTATCTCTGAAAGTAGGGTTTATGTATGTTTCAATTTTTAATCATTTTGCTCTTTGAAATAACTGAGATTTAAGGATTGCTGCTAACTACAATTCACCTAAAATGGCAACTCAGTTTCCTAAATTATTATTTAGGATAAAATGGCCCACAATTTTCTTGATACATAACCTCGAGGCTATGAGAATATGCCTTACTACATAGGCTCAGATGTGTAATTATCTATGTTCATCTAACCAACATAATGTTTGTGAACATGTGCATATGTGTGTGTCTACAATAATGCAGACTTTTCATTGTGGCTGCTTTGAGCAATTGGTAATACCAGAATTAAAAATTTTGTGGGTCAAAGTATTTTCTTTCTTAATCTACAGTGTGGAACCTCCCATTTATCTAGGTATTACAGTACTTGCAAAACTTATCTGAGGAAAGTATAACCTTACCTCTGGATATTCTGATAATATTTTTTGTACAGAAAAATAAAATACTATTCATTATAAGCAATACTATAGTTTGATGTTTCTTAAAAGGATGCCAATATTAATATCTATTGCTTTAAATATAGTGGTTGTTGAGGCTGGGATCCACTAAGCATTCAGGGTCTCCTCTATAAATGGGCACATGAAGACATTCATCTAGAAATGAATGCAGGGAAATCATTTTTCTCCAAATAAGTGGAATTTCCAGTAACGAGAACTATAGGAATTTATGCTTTCATTATTTTAACCACTGTGCGTGGCATATTTGAACTGCCTTTTCTCTTAGTTCTGAGTTCTATAGTATTTATATCACTTTACTTTTCTATGAGCTATCTCAAAGGCTTTCTAGAAAGAGCAGGAGTATAAATATATTCATATATGTTTATACATAGAGTGGCTTCAACTGAAATCCATATTATCATATTTCTATTCCTAAATCTAGAAGCAACAAAACAAAGTTAATTAAACATGAAGTTTCCTCAAGGAAAAGAAATTTTAGTAGGAGTGCTTTTATTTGCATTTGAAATGTACATTGCTGAGAACCAGGGGTTTTTATTACCCATTACCAATGTGGAATGATGTACCTGTGAAAATAATGCTGTTTAAATGTAGTAATAGGTTAGGTGTTAGAACTACTTTAAAAATCATATTTATAAATTTGAATCCATCTTTGAAATGGACCAGATGAATTCCATACTTCACAATAATTACAAAGCAGGATTCTAAAGTATCAAACACTTTATGTAAGCAATCCTGTAGGTTCTTTTAACTTATGTCCATTGGGAAATGAAATTCTACTTTATCTAGACTGGAATAAAAGTCAGTTCCATTAACTTTTCAACAAAATGTTGATTTTTTTTCCACCTCTAGTTCTGGCAACTAAAGTCTATGACTATCTTTCAATCAAAAACAGAAAATACCTTGTCTTCAGGCATCTGCCAGGAAATGTAATATTATCTAGCTTTTATTATAACCAGAGTTGAGAGATCTGATATCTATAAAGCAGAGTTTTAGAGCTGTGCTACTTTTCCATTTCAAAACACCGTTCTTGAGTTAAATTCAGTCAAATGAATGGGACCAGCAGATGACATAATGGTTATGTCACTGGATTCCCAGTAGTTGACCACAATTCGAGTCATAGACCTGGTGGTTTGAACCTCATGCCAGGCGCATGTGCATGTACTCCCAAAATCCCAAGAGGAGAATGGAGGAGAAGGGACTGTGGCATGATCATCCTCCCACGGGGTGGGTGGTGGTGGTGATTTCTCACTTTAGGTCTCTCTGTCTCTCGGGAAAGAGCATGCACCGTAGAGTAAAAAATCTCTCCAAATAGTATTACAAATAATAGTAATAATAATTTAATCAAATAAAACAAGTGTACCAGAACAATAAATTATCTTATCCTAGAAATAATTATTATATTCCACAATCACATTGAGAAATCATAAGCAGTAACTTCAGGTGACTTCCGTACTTCGGAGCACCTTCCTCAAAAATTTTTAAGAGCTGTTGTGCTAAGAGCTCTTCATGGATGGCAGTGCAATGTGAGAAGGGCTTAGTTTCTAGACTGAAAAAGTTTGGTCCTCAAAGTCCATTTCTCGAATTTGACCTACTCAAGTCTGTGCTCACCAGATGACCTATGGAGCTCCAAGGATAGCACCTACAAGGCTGAGCAACACTACATGGCCAGGATCTCATTTCCAGTATGTAGCCAGTCAAGGAAAAAGAGCTTGCTATTTAGCACTGCTTTTAATTTTTTGTTGTTGTTTTTGTTTTATTTTCTTTGCAAGAACATTGGAAGTTAGAGTATTAGAATAGTACAGTCTAATTTTGGATGACTTTTATTTTTTATACATAGATAAGTGCTTTGTAAAAAAAAATAAAATAAGTTTTGGGCCCTATTACTATAGTGACAATCTTGACTTTATGTTCATTTTTAACCAAATTTCTGTTAGAATATCTCTCAACTATATTATTTAATGGACTTTAAGATTTCCACAAGGCCCTACCCAATTTCAAAATATATTACAGAGCAGTGATAATCAAAACAGCATGGTACTGCAGAAAAATAGACACATCAACCAATGGAACAGAATAAGGAATCCAGAGATAAATCCAAAATCATATAGCCAATTGATCACTGACGAAGGATACAGGACAACGCACTAGAAAAATGAAATTTGACCCTATCTCTCACCATTAATAAGAATCAACTTGAAATGGGTCAAATATTTTCATGTGAAGCTTGAAACTATAGTACTAGTAGGAAACAGAAGAAACTCCTGAACTCATTGGAGTAGGGAGATATTTCTTGCCCGAAACACAGGCAATAATTCCCAAAATAGACAAGTGGGATTACATTAAGCTATTCCTCAGGCAACAGATTGATAACCAGAATATATAGAGAACTTAAGCAGCTCACCCAGAGAAAAATGAATAATCCAATTAAAAAATGGGCAGATGAGTTGACTAGACAACTCTCAGAGAATGACTTACAAATGGGCAAAAGGCACAGAAAAAAGTAAAGTCTCTTCTCAAAAGGGAAATACAAATTAAAACCACAAAGAAGTACCATTCAACCTTAGAATGGCTAGGATCAAAAAAATTAAGAATGACAAGCACTAGTGAGACTGGTGAAAAGGGAATCCTCTTTAACTTCTTATGGAAATGTAAACTATTACAACATCTGTGGAAAACAATATGAAGGCTCCTAAAAAACTTATAACTAGAACTACAATATGGCCCAATAATCCCACTCCTTGGTATTTACCCAAAAAGTAGACAAATACTTAGTCTGAAAGATACTTGCACATCCTTGTTCATGGCAACATTATTCACACTTGCTAGGACATGGAATCAATCTAAGTATCCAAACTGATGACTGGGTTGAAAAACTGTGGTATATATTTATGCTCTGGAATCTTATTACTTGGTCATAGGAAACAATAAGATTCTATCGTTTGATTCAAAATGGATGACTATAGAGAACTTAATGTTGAGTGAAGTGAGCCAGACTTAGAAAGAAACACACTATATATCCCTCTTAATAAGTACTTTATGACATAAATAGAAAGATCTGAAGATATGATAGTAAAGAGAATAGGTGTAGATACCAGAGATTTTAAGGGAGGTGAGTGAGTGTTAGTGAGTGGTAGAGGGTGGGCAGGAAGCACAGAGGTAAGAAACTTTTAACAAATAAAAGAATGTAAAGTTCTCTGAGGGGAAAAAGCATGTTAAGTAATTTTTGTTTGCTTAAAAAAATATTAAAACACACACACACATACACACACACAGATTTCCACAAGGAAAAGTTCAAAACTGTTGTAGAAAAAATTTAGATAATGAACGAATAAATTTTGAATGGTCCTCTGACCTTACATTGAGCTCACAAGACTCATCACATCTCTCTTTAGCTTAGGTTTTCAGAAACTTAATAGAATTTAATGACCAAGAGTCATAATCTTCTATATCCACTTGCTAATACTCTTTCTATTATGGTTTTTCTTTTCTGTTTTTGGATTACTTCAGACTTTCCTCAAGGACATGTTTTTATTAGAATCTATAATAAAATATTTTTGAAAATTTAGAAAAAGTTTACAAGATCAAAATAAATAGAACATTAATTTTTTTCAGGAAAATGTGTTTTAGGTAATTAAATAAACATGTCATTGGTTTGTGAAGCATAAACAAGCCAAATTAAATACTTCAGAACCAGAACCAAATGTTATGCCATGTCTTAAAGGGAAAGGGAAAGGACTATGCCTGGCTATTCAAGAGTACTAATATAAATTTAGAATATTTATACCTAGTGATTTTGTCTATACTATATTGTAATTGATTATATATAGTCTGGTCATGAGGCAAAATGTGCTATAACTATACTTATAACTACACTTAATGATAATTTTATATATATATTCAGCAAAGAAAGTAAAAGATGCAAACAAAATATATACTATTTTCATTAACATAATCAGGAAAACTGAAGCAAAGAAGAGTTAAATGATATTCCAAAGCTTACCCGAGTCACTGAGTCAGGAGAATAAACCAGGTCTCTTGGATTTCAACTCCAGTGTTCTAGTCACTGGTTTGTTCAACTCCTGTGCAAAATATCCACACACAATACCCAAAGCACATTCCCCCTTTCTATCAAGTGGTTGTCAAAAGAAACACTCCATTACCTTTCCCACATACTGCGGCTCAGAGCCCATGTATTCTTCCAGCACAAAAAACTGATTCCATACCCAGCCACGTTTAACTCGATGGAAGTGTGAGCGTCGCCCTGGCAGATGGATAACATTTTCTCTTGATTCTGTGGCTAAAGTCTGTTGTGGCTGTGGTTGAAGTGGTGTTAAGAGACCTCCATCAAACAGGACCCAGAGAAGCAGGGATAAGCAGTTCCTTGTAAGCATTGGCAAAGGCTTTCCTACAGCAGAGTGATAAAAACTCCAGCACTTAATGTAGAATTGTGGAATCCAGGTTTGAGGTGTCCGTGGCCTCCACCACTTAGCTTTCTGTTTTATTGCAGAAATGATAATGCAGGCATTAATCCTTTTGATGAAAAGGCTTCTGCTCTATTATATTCCATCTAAAGGGACCTATAAAATAGATGAAAAAAGATACATTAAATTAAAATTTCATGGTGATATTCATCAAAACTTTCATTATATCGGCCAATATTGAAAGAAACAGAGAGGATAAGACTTTAAAAGAATTGCATTGGTAAATGATCATGTAAATTTTTTAAGTGAATAAGTTAAATTTTTTATAGACCTGAAAAATGCTAGTTACAATAAAGCAAATGGTATATCATAAATAGGGGCAATAATTTTTTTTAATTTTAGCAATTCATTTAAGGCAAGAACATATTATCACCTATTTTAAAGTAAACTATTAAGTGAAAGAAGGATAAAACTACTGGTGGAAAACACTGTTCAAACTCTGGGAGACATTGGAGTAAGCAAAGACTTCTTAAGCAAGACCCCAAAGCAAAGGAAATAATCCCCAAAATAGACAGGTGGGATTGCATCAAATTAATGAGTTTCTGCACAGCAAAGGAAATCTTAATTAGTGTGAATCAACAACCCTCAGAATGGGAGAGAATTATTGTTAACTGTGCCTCAGATAAGAGACTGGTGACCAGTATACACAGGGAACTCAAGAAGCTTGCCCAGAAGAAAATGATTAACACAATTAAAAGATGGGAAAATGAGCTGAATAAATAACTCTTTAATGAAGACATATAAGCAGCCGAAAAGCATATGAAATAATGCTCAACATCCCTCATTGTAACGGAGATGCAGATCAAACTCACAATGAGATACCACCTAACCTCAGTCAGAATGGTGAAGAGAGAGATGTAGTGAAAGGGGGACACATCTACATTGTTGGTGGGAATGTAAATTGGTCTAGCCACTGCAGAGAATGAAATGGAGGTTCCTCAAAGACCTTCAAATAGAACTACCATATGATCCAGCAATTCCACTCCTGGGTATCTACCCAAAGGACAGGAGAGCACTCAGTCAGAAAAGTGCTTGCACAACTATTTTCATTATAGCATTATTCATGATTACTAAGACATGATATCAACCCAAATGTCCACAAACAGATGAATGAATTGATAAATTATGGCACATATACTCAATGGAATACTATTCAGCCATAAGAAAAAAAAAAAAAAGGCCCTGGATTCTGAAAGA